AAACAAAGTACTCGAAGTATAGTCATAGATCATACAAACTACAAATTAATTAATAATTGATTTATCAATTGGAAGTTGGAATTGAATTACAACCTTAAAAAAATGAAAATAGTTATCAACTATGTTGACAATTATTTAAAATGTCATAAAAGAAGGAGAGGGTTTGGGACTTTGGGTTGTTAGTAATTCCTAGGTAATTGGGATGTTGTAGCTTAGGAAATAGAAATATACTACATTTGATTTGTTTTCTTTAGTACGCGGCTATTGCTAGAGTGTTAGGAAAATATAGCTTATGCCGGGTAACTTACGGTGTACATTTTCATCATATGCCGGGTAACTTACGGTGTACAATGCCGGGTGAGAGAGAACAAATGTTTTCTATTCAACATAGGGTCTGTATATATATTCCTGAGCATTTGCACATTGTATATAGTTAGAGGAATCATAATCCACCAGTTTGAAAAAAAAGTTCATTAACACAGATCATATGTACACAGGACTGGTGAGTTGACCAATTAGTATTTCATAAAATACGCATATTTCCCTGACGCATTTACAAGTCATACAAGTTACTGTACTTTCCGCATCCGCGTCATAGAGAAGCTCCCCTTGGTTTAAGTTCTTCTTGTGCTCTAGTTTATGTTTGCAGAATATCTTCGGCTTTGGCAAATAATGTAAAATCATATGGTTGCGCATCACATTATATTTCGCCATATCACGTAACTTCCTTCTACACTGGTCTATCCCCACGGATCCGATGTTGTTGATAGTCTTCTTCAAAAGCTTAACATCCCGTTCTTCTTCTCCGGTGTGTATGTATATCAGGCTTAGTACATATGTTGCCGTCGAATTGTGCAACTCATTTGCTCTTGCCAACATCGTCAATCCTTCGTCCAACACCATGGTGTTGAAGTATTGTCGCTACATTAAAGAGAAATAATAAAAACACCGACTATAAGTCTGCAACATAAATTCTAACAAATACAATTCGAAAACTACCACTACAGTTGCGGTGATACATATTATTTAGGAAATGGATGATAAAATTATACCACTTTAGTATTGGTGGTACATTTGATTTATAAAACTGCCACTTTGGAAAACAAAACCGTTTCACATAGTGAGTAACAGATATTCACTAATAAAGTTCCCAATAATTGAGAAAGGAGACGTACAAATCCAAACTCAAGAAGAGCTTCAGGATGTTCATTCTCCACGCACTTGACGAAGAACTTCTCCACTGCTTCTTGGTGTGGCGTCAACTCTCGTGCTTCAATACAAGGGAGGTGAATTTGTTGAATGACCCCCTTTTCTTCGGATATCCATCGCAGGGTTTTACAACTGTTATCAAGTGATACGGCAGAAATTAGATTATTACATTCTCTGTGTATATAATGAGAACAGAGTACATGTTGCAAGTACAAGCCTACCTTAATTTGCATCGAAATAGATCAGCAGGAGATGACTTAGCAACGCAACTTAGAATGGTCGCCAACACTTCTCGCGGAAGGATGTCAACCATAGTGGTTATACGGTATTCGCTTCTACATCCATTCTTTTTTTTTTGAGATTGGCAGATCCGAGATCGCTTTGTTCGTACAGACGGAAGTGAATTTTTTCCGAAAACTGTTTGACATATAAATAGATTTATCAGTGACGGTTCACCTTCATGCCTGGGATTGGATGTAGTAGACTTGGGAGTTGTGATGATGATGGTTGAAAATTTAATTAGTGGGGGAGATTTATAATTTATGGTACATATCTAAGCCGTAAATTTATTAATATATCTATCACGTAAATTTAATTCTTTTTTCCAGTGGGAAAAATAATGTCAGTCTTTGGGAATTACTAGGTAAAAAATTTTTATGACAGATTTATTGTTATATATAGTTATACATTATTGATTGATAAGTATTATAATCATAAATTAGTCTAGAAATAAGAATGTGATAGGTTGATTTGGTATTTGCAATTTTTAATTGTAGCATCTAATACACAACTGAAACAAAAATAGGCAAAAAAATCTGAGCATTCTTTTTTCTTGTTGTAAAACAGGTCGCAGATTATTTTAAGAATATAAGATTATTTTAAAAAATCTGACCATTTTTGTAACATAAAATATGTACAAAACATAATATTATTTTTGTAAATGATTTGTTTCCTTAACTAATAGTTTTTTTTAAAGGAAAAAAGTCAAAATAACACGGCAGGAGATGACACGTGTCATTGCTTGTGTGTCTTTTAGTATATAGTTATTGATACAAATTCGTTTTGTGCTCGAAGCATTAACCCAAAAAAATCAAATGATTCTAGTGATACATTCGAGTAACTAAACGTATTAGAATTAGTTAAGTATATTTCTTATCACCCGAAATGTCCATCAAAATCGTTTTTTATAAACTCTGATCATATGGCAATGAACAGCTACAAAAAGGAAATGGATTGTTAATAACCAGGGTGGAAAATTGCCACCGTCGTACGATAACGTTTACATCACCCACCTACCCAACTTACTAATAAATAATTTCTAGTGAAGTTACTAATTAATAAGTAGTACACTAGAAACTTAGTGATTTGTAATTTAGGACTTTGGATATTTACGATCACCGTAAAGCATTGTTGAAAACCTTCGACGACAATGAGCGGGTTCATTCAACACCTACATGTACCAACAGTATAGTACTCTAAGTGACTAAATCTTAGTCATTTAATTTTGACTTATAATCGAAGAAGGTTGTTAAACTTTTTTGCCAATCAAACGTGTCAAGATTGTGGTACGCCTTGTTATGTGATCCAGGGTACCACTAAGACAACAGCTGTACCCCCATAATTAAAATACAATTGAAAATCCTGAATGAAAAATTGTAAAAGAAAGTAAATTACAAACAACCAGGATGGTACAAATACTAGAGTCGTAGGAGAACATTTACATCACCTAACTAGTGTGGTACAAATGCTAGGGTGGTACAGATATGCGTCGCACACGACCGGTGAGTGGGCTTTGCAGTAGATAATAAAATACGCTTATCTCCCTAAGGCATTTACAAGTCATACAGGTTATTGTACTTTCCGCATCCTCATCATAAAGGCGATCCCATGGGTTTAAGTTCTTCTCGAGCTGTAATTTTTGTTTGCAAAATATGTTCGGCTTTGGATCATAATGTAAAATCATATGATTGCGCATCCAATTGTCACTCGCCAACTCACATAACCTATGTCTGCGCTGGACTATCCCTGCAGATCCGATGCGGTTGATAGTCTTCTCCAAAAGCCTTAAACCACTTTCTTCTTTTCCAGTGTATATGTATCTGAGGCTTAATACATAGTCTGCCATCGAATTGTGCAACTCAGTTGCTCTTACCAACGTCATCACTCCTTCGTCGACCGCCATGTAGTTGAAGAATTGTCGCTACAGTAAAGAGACATGGTAAAACAGTTACAAGAAGTCTACAAACATAAACATAAATTCTGACGAAAAAAATTCCCAATAATAAAAAAAAGAAGACGTACAAATCCATACTCAAGCAGAGCTTCGGGATGTTCATTCTGCACGCACTTTTTCCAGAACATATTCGCCTTATTTCGGCTTATACCTGACATCCGTACTTTAACCCAGGGGAGGTGAATTTGTTGAATGACCCCCTTTTCTTCGGCTATCAGTCGCAGGGTTTTACAACTTTTATCAAGTTATACGGTAGAAATTAGATTACTACAGTCTATGTGTATAGGATGAGAAACAGAGAACATAACATAGTACATTTTTCAAGTATAAGCGTACCTTAATTTGCACCGAAATAAATCAGCAGGAGATGACCTAGCAACGTAACTTAGAATGGTCACCAACACATCTGGCAGAAGGATGTCAACCATAGAAGGTGAGAATTTTCTTTTCTCTTCTACATCCATTTTTAATTTTTTTACAGAGGGAGATCGCTTTGTTCAAATAGAAGGAAGTTAAGTTTTTCGCAAAAACTGTTTGACATATAAATAGACTTCCACGAGACGGTTTTCCTTCATGCATGGGGTCGGATGTAGTGGGTTGGGAGTTTTGATGATGATGGTTGTTCATTGAATTACTGGGGGATATTCAAATATCCGGCGAGGATTTATTGGAAACTGCCAATTAGAAGTTACCCATGCACATAATAATTAATGGTACATTTATTAACCGATAAACGTACCACTATTCCAAGATTTGTAGATGGACAGGTAGGTTATTAATATATCTAACACATAATTCAAACGGAATAATTTGTCATATGACAAAAGGAAAAATTCAATGACAAGATCGCAAATACTGAAAACGGGGAAATATTTTGCTCGAACCATTAACATAAAGAATCAAATGATTCTGATGATACATTACAGTGATTAAACTTATTACAATTAGTTTACTATATTTCAATTAGAGTAATTAAACTAAATACATCATATTGTTACATTTTTTTTAAATAAAATGTTTGCATCATGTAAGTAGTCTGCATGGGGAGTGGAAATGATGGGTTGGGAGAAGTGATAATGGTGATGATGAATAATAAATGTGAATGTTAAGCGCATATATTTAGGATTCCGGCGCGAATACTCTTGGAAATGGCCATTTCTCACTTACGCATGCATATAATAATTAATGGTACATGTTTACGTTTTTAAATGTACCACTAAGATATGCTTAATCCTTGTGAGAAATTCTGTTTGTATTGTAAGAGTAGAATTTGCAATGTTATTTAAGTATGGGACAATGAAAACTAAATAATGTCCTAATTCGGACACATAAACCTTTTTTGACTATTCATGTTGTAATCGCAACCCATTCCTGTAACTAGAGTTCTCTTCAGTGACATAATAATAATGGTGGTACCAATACCTGCGTCGTACAAGGCCGTCGACATCACCCGACTTGTTATTTGTAACTCAACGTAGGTTGTGACGCCATTTTACCAATTGAAACGAAAAATGTACCACTATTGTAGACATTAATGTTTTTAAAACATCACTGGGTATCAACACGGCCACACCACGACAATCATAACAACACGAAACTTGTCATCCTCATCATCGTCCTCCTCATCATCGTCGTCCTCATCATTTTCATCCTCATCCTCAACAATGCTCTCCTGGTTCTGGTCTCCCATCTCCTCATCACCGTTACCATCATGAGCACCACAAACAGCCACAACAGTTTCCATGTCCTCCTCGAAAGTCTTCTCTACAGGTGGCTCATTCCCAACATTAGTGTCATTTTCGGCAATTCCTGGCGATGAACGGCTTGCAACAATTTCACTCTAAACGCGTGCAATACGTTGATCCAAAAGCTGGCTCAAACGGGCCCATAATACCCTCTCTTCTTCTAGCTTTGCCATATGTACTCTTTAACCTTTTCTGCTTCTTTAAGCTTAGCCGCATGTACTACTTTAACCTGTTCTGCTTCTTCTACCACTTTCTTCCCCTGCCCAGCGAGTTCGGACATCTCTGAGTACAACTTGTCAAGTTGCCCTTCTAATTCAGTCACTTCCCAGTCACTCATGGTAGCTTCTTTAACAACCAAAGACAATAGGAAGGGTCAAACCATGTCTGGAAAGCAGTACATAACATGGGGTTTTTGCACTATCATAACTAATGTGGTACATATACTCTTCATTTGTAATACCACTATCAATGGTGTAAAAATTGGGCAAAAGGGACAAAATTGAAATGGTAATTCCATGTTTCTAAAGTGGTATAAAGCAGCACCACTGTGATTAAAATAGTACAATTTCATGTACCATCCATAACAATGCCGTTGCGTGACAGTGGTACAAAAAACCCCCTCCATAAATTGTAACAATCCATAAACACAAATAATTGGTTAAGATTTTGGGCAAAAAGGAAAACACTACAATTCACATCAACTGGGTTTAATCCGAACTAAGAGGTACAAAAATCCCACACAGAAAAGTGGGAAAAAGGGATAAGCAAATAATTCTCATCCCCTTTCCCACCCCACCCGGTTGTTGTCGTAATAAAGCCGGAAACACTCACCCCATTAATGGCGACATGAGGAAAAAGAACACAAAAAGCAGGAAACAGTCACACCATTTATGGCGATATTAGGAAAAAAAAACACAAAACCATAAAATACCAGACACAACGGAAAGATTAGGAAAAACGACATAAAAACAACGAAACATTGGAGATATAAACAAAACCATGAAAAGGTAAAATAACCCTAAAAACACGAAGTGCAAAAAATATAACAAGAATACAGTGTTATAGAGTGGAGAGTGGAGATCCAAAGAAAAAACAGGGAACATAAGTAAAGAGTCCGACACCAGTACACGACGAATTAAATTGGAACATACCTTGTAGCAGAATTCAATTGGCGAGTTTTTTTTTTTTTTTTTTTTTTTTTTTTTTTTTTTTTTTGAGGTTTCTAAGAAGGTTTTGAAGGGGAATGAACAGGTGTTTTACCGATAGGACGAAATATGGAAGTTACGTGAAGGCGGTGATGAACTATAGAATTAATCGTTCCAATTCTCGAGGGTCGGTAATTATGGCGTTTCATTTTACAATTTTAACTATCCTATTTTCCCGTTGGTTTTAACCTTTTCATTGTTTTGTTTGTGGTAGTCATGTGTAATCCCCGGAAGTGCTTAACTGTTGTTTGCAACACATTGTGCTAATTCATACAACAAATGTCATAATTAAAATCTAATTAGAACAATCATTGTTCAAATTCAGACATCTAGGATGAGAATGAAAATTGCAATTAAACATTACATCGGGGATCATAATACAAGTCATAATTAAACATACATCAAGGATCATTAGCCTACATACAAAAGAAAGGAGATTCACTTCCCTTTTACTCATACGTCAAGGATCATTAGGCTTGTTACAAAATGGGATTCACTTGATTTTAACTCATACGTCAAGGATGAATAGGGTTGTTACCAAAGGGGATTCGGTTGATTTTGGTTCCACAAACACATGACATTAGGCTTCCTCATGCCATATTTGTTTGTGAAGCAAAATACTTCGTCGCCATTCCTCATGGCCGCACCCCGAACATCCATAACTGGCGTGACCTTTTTGTTCTCGTGAAACATAAAATTTTGTTAGGCCTCACACGCACCTCGTCACTCCAAGCTCGAAACAGGTCGTCCAGAGACTCATCCAGCATGACTAGTACTTTCTTCTTCACCGAACGTGTTCGCGGCTCTCGGAGATAGACTAGCTTCTTACAAACATCCATGTTGGCCTTGGGTACCTACGTGTAAACAAAATTAAGAAACACAATTTAAATAAGTTTGAACCACATACTTATACCATTATACAAATTTATCGAACCACAACTCAACAACATCAATCACTATAATTATACGATACATAACTGTAATTTTATGAATTACCACGAAGAATTTAGCCGACATAACAGATTATGTAATAAGGAAATTAACACATATTAACATCAGTTTAATATAATGACATTAAATGTTAACTTTGAAATACACTAGGGTGCAAAAATAGCTGGACCTGCCATCAACACCCCCATCACCAACCTAATTAATAGCCTAAGTAAGAGCCTAATAAACCAACCAATTTAACAAGTAAAATTAAAAGTAATTAGTTTAACATGTGAGAATCGCTTTTGCTTCTTACAGTGGTAGTTTCGTAAATAGCATGTACCACTTTAATAATGCTGGTACATTTTGACATGTTAAATGGATGATAAAAGTATACCACTGTAGTCAAGGTGGCACATTTTATTTAGAACAGAGCTAGTCCAAACTACAGTAAATCACTACAGTTTAGCCACCTTAACAACAACTTCAATTAAACCACAATATAAGTTATATAACATCCACACTTTAACGAAATTCTAAATTTTCAAAACATGACATTAAATATTATCTTCATTTTACGAAAGGAAAAGGAACCGAACCTAGCTCCAAACCCACAAGACAGCCCTGTTCACTATCCCGGCCAACATTGGATTGTTATGCCAGGGAACGATGCCGCAAGCATTCCTGATAGTAATGTCTTCCGGGTGAGAGTCTACCCTCCTAGCGTAGTCATAGTAAATTATCTTGAATGATTCATTGATCGTGAGTTCATACTCGAGGTCGGGGTCGTCGTCATTTAGGCTCCGAACCCTGAACGATATCTTTGGAAAGAAGTTGCCAGGATTTGGAGGGGCAACCCTTGCTTGCTTAGCTACAGCCCCTCGGTTGGTAGCAGGCTGTACGGGCACTGGCTTAGCAGTGGTAGGTGCCATGACAACCACAGCATAAGCCTCATCATCTTCTATCTGAACAGGGTCGTCTCCTGGTATGTTAATCACTTGCTGAGGAGCAACACCTCTAGAAGCATTCATTATCTGGGTCCTGTGTGTATCCTCAGAAACAACATGTTTAGAAACAATCTGGGGTAGTTTAGCAGCACGTCCTGCTTGTGTCGTTAGGTCAAGTACATGATCTTCGACGATCGAAGCAACAAATCGTCGAGACTCCCACACTCCACGGCCGGCTTTTCGTCCGCCGACCCTCACGCCAAAAGCTACGACCTGCTCCAACGGACTGTGACGGCCTGACATAGCCTTCCTTTTCCTAAGCGGTGGACAGGATTTGGAATGGACCGGACCCCGGTAAGGGTTTAGGTTTGAAGGGATGTAGGAACTCATATTGGTTGAATAACTGTGTGTTGGTGGTAGCGTTGAACTAGTTCTTTGCCAATTCTGTTTCGCCGGTTTCACTGATAGGAATAAGAATATAGTCCTTGTGAGTGTGATATATAATTACTAGTAGATTAGGTCATGTGCCATGCACGGTAACTTTCAATAAATACTCTATAATTATTAACATTATATTTAATAAAAAAAACTATTTAAGTTACTACTTTGTAAAATGAATTAATTATGAAAGAGTCTATTATTAGCAAAATATATAATTTAAAGTACACATATATGTATATTTATATATTTTCACTAACTATTTTATATCATTTCTTCTTTTAACCAAATGAATATCTTACAACTATGTATACGTATCTAATTCGTAAATAGATTTAATTTTTACACACTATTAATCCATTCCCTCTTACGTGGTACTTATTTTTCTTCTCAATAATCAACTGGCTTAAAAAAATTTCTATCTTTCCTAACAAGCTTTTGTAACATAATTAAATACACAAGTATTTTACAAAAAAAAAAAATCCTTGTTGTAAAAATGTAGGAGTAGTATATAGCACTATGTATGTCACAAATTATGTTAAGAATTTGATTTTTATTTTTTTAACTGTAACTTATGGTATCAATATATATAGTGCTAGGATACATTTAATCTTTTTAATCTTATTTTTATACATAAGATTTTTTTTCTAAATATTTTTTGTTTATTTTAAACATCTGAAAATGACACGTGTCATTGCTAGTGTGTCTGTCTTTTAGTATATAGTTATTGATGTTAATTTGACATATTAGACATCTGCATTGGAATACGGTTCAATGTATAGCGATTGCAGTTTGAGTTTACCTTTTTTTGCTAGTTGATACGATTACAAGTGAGAAACGGTGCAGTGATTTTATTGTACTTCTGGTTTCAGTGATTTAATGTGGACCCTGTAGTCAGGTTTAGCGCAACTGTGTTTATTTTTAGTATTATCTGAATAAAAAGACTCGTTTATCATTGTGTATTTAGCAACATTACTTGACTAACATAGTCTACTACACTATTAATCCGTCCACTACACTATAAATCTGTTACGGAATTATGTTGCAATTGTATACCCCATTATCATACTTCTTTGTAGTTAAAGCGTTATTTGCAAAAATAATTACAACAAACTAAAGGACACATGGTGGATAAATATTAATACTAGTAAAAACAATGATGACGACGTGTAAATTGACCAAACCTAAAAGCTCTTAATGTCTTAGCTGTTGGTGCAGTGGTAGATTCTTGACTTGTTGGTGTCACACCAATCAACTAACTACTGTATTACCAAACGCTAACCATTGGGTGAAAAGAACGTGTTACCGAATGAGAAAAATGGGAAAAAGGATTCCCAAATGGAACATGTGCAACCATTACATGAATCCAAATAACGAAGGGGTAATAGTGGGACAATCAAAAACACATTCAACCCAATCGTACTGAATATTATGTTCGTTAATACACGAACAACCCGAAAATCAAATCCTCCAAAACCCTCGAGACCCTCCAAAACCCTAAAAACTAAACCCTTAAAACCCTAATGGCTAAACCCTTACATAAGTTACATATGATCAAACTCGGATATGTGGCAGTTGAAGTAGCCAACCGTTCAAGTATTCGTATCTACTAGAGCATCGGAAACCAAATGTTACTGTCCTTTCTATTTGATCGTATTTTTCCAGTCATTGCTCCTTTGGATGATTATATTGTGCAAGTTGTTCGAAGTACGGTATTAGACAATTGTTGATTCGTTCATAGTTGAACTAAGCGCACCCTTGTTAGTGAAATAGTTACTTTTCCTCGTCGTCATCTACCGTGGTTAGATTTATGTAGT